AACCTGTAAAGGATCCCTGTAGCCGTGTCATTGTTATAGTACTGCTGTTAAGAAGGCCACGGTACTGTAACAATAGTTTGGTTGATATAGTTTTTTAAGCTTTTTTAAAGTAATTTTTTAATAAAAATTTTTTTTATATTGCTTGTATAGTTTTGGTTTATTTTTTTTACTTTAGGCAATCATATTAGTAATCTATATTTAATTGTCTAAAATAAAATAACAGACTCTAATTTCTATATATTGTGATACAAAAATTACTTTTTTGATATATCAAATATTAAAATATTAAAAATAACTTTGTATTTTCTATCTGTCTTATATAATTTAGGATTATACAAAAATTTTAGATTTATTCTACACTTCTATATTAGTTATATGATATGTTATGATATAAATTTTTGTATATATAAACCTATAGCAAAAATATATAGAATTATATATAAACTTTGTTGCAATAATGTTTCTTCGTTTACATATTAACTTTAAATTAAATTTTACAAATAAATATATTAAGAAAAGAAGAAAATACAAATTTTAGACCAAATAAAAATTTTGCAATTTTGATACAATTTGAAAATATAACTTTGTTAAAAAAAAATTTAATAGTTTTAAAGTAATAATTATATTAGTCAACCGATTTGTCATATATTTTATATATATAGAGTTCCAATCCATTATCCGTTTATCCATTTATCCATCGAATATCCAGATATCAAATGGATAATTGGATAAAATGGATTAACAGATGGATAACCGAATTATCCAATAAATTATTCGGATTGATGCAAGGAGTAAGTGTTAATGCAAGAAGTGCATATTGATCTAATAGTTGATCTAACGGTTAATATAATGAGTGTTATATGATATAACAGTTAAGATCTAATGGTTGATCTAACGGTTGATCTAACGGTTGTTCTAACCGCTGATCTAACAGCTGATGTGATAGGTGTTATATGATATAACAGTTGATATAACAGTTGATCTAATGGTTGATCTAATGATTTATGTGGTGAATAGAATTTTGATAAGGCAGACGTTATATGAAGAAAGCAG